AGATCCTCTCTCTCTCTCTCTCTCTCTCTCTCTCTCTCTCTCTCTCTCTCTCTCTCTCTCTCATTTTGATGTGGTGCCATGTAAGTAGTTATGTGAAACGTAAATTTGATTGTGCCTGAACTTGCATACCTGTGTAAAAGATAAATCCAACTGATCTTTGTGTGGATATCCTGCAATCCAACACAGAAATTGTGCACAAAAAATTAAATGCATTCACACCACAAGAGATTTATATGTCTACTATGCAGTTCGTACATTTTATTCCCATCTTTTACAAAAAGTAAATTGTGAAGAAGACGTTTCTTTTTTTTTTATTTTATTTTTTTATTTTTTTATGGTTAATAACTTAACAATTTTGACAAAAAAATAAATAAATTACAAAGTATTTTGAATTGTTACACTTTATGATTTTATAAATGAATTGTTATTTTAATAATTAACATCTTATTAAATCATTAACGTCATTGAAATTGTTGATATAAAATCATATGAGCTAATCATAAGTGATGGTGTTAAGGGGTAATGGAGAGAAAAAGAGACGCACTGCAATTAAAATTCGTCAACAACAATGAGATAATAATCACTCTATTTGATTTTTTGATTTTTGTTTTTCATGTTTTGTTGTTTTTACTTAATTTTTTTTCATATTTTAAGCAATTGTTTTTACTTTTTAGACATACCTAATATAAATATACCTAAAAAGTAAAATATTTGTATAAAAAACCTTTTAAAAATTCACTAAATATCAGAAATATAAAAAAAAATACGAGAATTCAATACATTTTTTATATTTTTATGTATTTATTAATTTTGTAAAATATTTTTTCACAATTTTTTTACTTTTTAGATACATCTAAGTAAGGTGCATCTAAAAAAGTAAAAAAAAAAAAAATTAAAATTTTAAAAATATTCACTAAAAACAAAAAAATACGAGAATAAAAAAACTCAATTTTTAAAAAACTTAATCTAAAAAACTTAAACCATACACACTGAATGATTTTTTGCAAATTTTTTTTCTCGTAACACTTATATAAGAGATTATCATTTATAAAGGCCACTTTTAATTTATTTATTTGTTGGTACATTTATGTTGGTCCCTTCAAATAAAATTTCTAACTTCGTCCCTAGGTAGAGGAATTGTTGGGTGATGGGATATAGAGGAATTGTTGGGTGATGGGATAAGATACTAAAAGTTGGAGGTGGTGATAATGGTTGTTGGCAAGTGGAGGAAAGGATGAAGGTGGCGGGGGAGGGCCATTTTTGTCTTTCAATTGAAATTCCTTAATATCTACCCATATTGTTGAAAAGATACCCACTTAAATGATAATATTTGCCTAACTTTCCCTTTACTTGTTTGGGATGACCTAAATAAGTGCACTTTTTATCTTTGTACGAAAAGATGTGCAGAAAAGTAGAGAGGTGATGTGATGGAAAAAAAATAAAAAGATAAAAAAATGAATTATTTTGGTATTGTCAAACTTGGACTCAGATATTTTCCAACTATTTTTTTTTTATTTTAAATTTTTGTGTTAATTACTCATTATAATAATTATTCTTTTAAAAAATTTATTAGGTGGATGAGATTGATGAGAATATAAAGAGTGGTTATATCTTGCAAGACACCACTCATGTCTCAAACAGAAAAAAGCTTCGGCGGGAAAAAGAAAGCAAGAAACACCCTCCACCCCACCCCAACGCAACAACTCATACATGTAAATCTCTCTCTCTCTCTCTCTCTCTCTCTCATACGCATAAGCATGTATATAAAGATGAATGTGTGTGTGTATATATAAAATCAAGAAAACAAAACAAAAAGCAAAGCAAGACGCTCTTTTTGTTTCTCATCGTCTTCTTTGACATTCAACATCAGAAGGTATCGAATATATAACGCAGAGAGAGAGAGAGAGATTGTTGAAGCATCTGCTCTCTTCTTCTCTGAGATTCTGAGAAGATAGCGACCTCCTCTGTTTTGAATATCAATCGGCTTCTCTGAATTTCTTCTCAGGTACGTTTTATTTGTTTCAATTTGATCTACAATGCATCGTTGTTATTTGATTTTTATGTTTCTATTAGCGGTTTTGATCTGTTCTGTTTTATTCTTCACTTGAATCTTACGTGTGTACCACTTGATACTTAGAAGAACGTGAAATGGAATTCAAAACTGTGTTCATTATGGTATAGAAATTTTGGCGTGTGTTCGCGTCATTGATTTTGCAGTTAATAAGTTCATGTTCTATTGTTTCTCTTTCAGATATTATTCACTTTGCTTGGTTTGAGTTTTCCAAAAAAAAATTCAAAAAGTTTTACTTTCTTGTTTTTCTTTTTTTTTTGTTTTATTGAATTTTTTTAAGAGTAATGATTCATCCCCCTTTTCCCCCACCCCTTTGACCCCCTCTCTCTCATTGGTCACCTTTTCTTTTTCTTTTTCTTTTTTTTCCTGCTCCACCAATCACCCCCTGTCACGTGGCAAAGGGGGTGAGGGGTGACCCCCAAAAGGGGGTCCCAAGCATTATTCTTTTTTTAATATTTTAAACAATTTTTTTAATTTTTAAACACACCTAACATAAGTACACTTAAAAAGTATAATTTTTATGAAAAGAGTTTTTAAAAAATTTACTAAGTACCAAAAAAAAAATACAAAAATTCAGTATATTTTTCGTATTTTTATGTATTTATTAATTTTTTAAAATATTTTTCACAAATATTTTACTTTTTAAACACATTTAAGTAAGATACATCTAAAAAAGTAAAAAAAAATGTTTAAAATTTAAAATATATTCACTAAAAAAAACAAAAAATAAAAAACTCAATTCAAAAAACTCAAACTAAACACGGATTCATATTTTTGCAAAGGACAATAGCAATTTTTCACCAAATTCACAACTCCTCTAGGCCGAATTCATTGAAAACAAGGAAGAGGAAGAAGAATGTCTCTCTAATTAATTCTATTTTTTCTTCTAAATTATTAGTAAAATTTGCACTGGTGAGCGTTCTAATAAGTAACTTTCCAACAAAAAAAAACAAAAAAAAACAAATGGGAACTATTGATGACAATGATGTTGGAAAATGAAAATGAATGAGTTACTGGGGATATGACGGTTGAATGATCATGATGATAACTTTCATGGGACTGGGGGGGTTGTAGAGAGAAGCCAAGAAAAATTTGGTTATGTTTACAGACTTCCAGAGGCTCTCAAATTGAGAAACTTTTGAATTTGTTTAGAAAATGATATTTGTCACCATGTAAATTTGATTATTTATTTATTTTTTTAAAGAATTTAGGACGAGAGTTACATTACAAATTAGTGAAGAATCATTTTTATTACAGTACAGATTTAAAAATAAAATAAAATAAAATAAAATTATAAGGTGGTGGGATCCATCCTTAAAATAACAAAATTGTCTTTCACCCCTCTTATTTCCTTTGCATCCTGCAACCCCCACCCTCCTTAGCCTATGAAGCACATACACCTCTTTAGAGCTGAGGCCCCAAATCTTGTCCAAAAACAAAGGGCCTATTTAAGTTTTGCCCTCATATATATATATATATATATATTAATAAAAATATTTTAGAAAAATGTTACTACGCACACTCGTTTAACATAAAAAAATTGTAAATTTTTATGATGTTAGTTATCAATCAGTGTAGTTATGAAGGGCACACTAAAATAAAAAAAATAAAAAACTATTGATTACATCTTTATGGTTGTATTCTGAATATTGGACATGCTCTCGCTACGTGTCAAACATGTTTTAGGTAGTCGAATAGCATGTCCGACATCTTGGGGAACACTTGGTTATGTTGGGGATACGTTGAGACACCAGCTAGGGATAAATTGTCCTTTTTTTTTTCTTTTTTTTACTTTTATTATTATTATTATTTTGCCAGAATAGCATAGCCAAGATTGATAGATTCAATGAGAATAAATATTTGACATAAAAAATATATATATATATATGTAATATCAAAAAATGTGATATATAAAATATATAAATTTTTTGTTTCACGTCCTCAATGTGTCCGTGCATGTGCCTCTTAATCCTCAGCCCTTCCCAGCTCTCTCAGCCAACCTCCACCCTTGCCTGCCATCCTTTACACCTCCACCTCAGCCACCCACCCCCATTCCCTCACCCACCCCAACCCAACTTGATCATATTGAATTTTTACCAATTGATGCATGTGATCTTTTTTTTTTTTTCGTTCAATCTTTTTCTTTTCTTTCTTTGCTAGTAGGATAGATTAGTGAGATTTTTTTTTTTTTTTTTTTCAATTGGTGGAACATAATTTATAAATGTAATAAGATTCACATCAAATTGAATATTCAATAACCAAAGAAAATTTAACAATATATTATTAAAAGCATACTAAAACCTAACAATCACACGAATCATATAAAACAGATCAAAACAAATATAAGTCGAAAAAGAATGACATATAAATAGAAAGAGACGAATTACTGATCTCTTAATAAAGTGGAGGTGCTCTTGGCCAACAAGTTATCTCAATGATTGTGAGAAAAGATGATAATAAAATCCTAATGCATCCTCAATAGGGTATAAGCCAAATACTCAGAAGAAGATTACACATGAAACTTTGACAGACACAAGATAAGAAAATGACAGCAATGTTGTGTATGATTGCAGCCTTGTAGTACGGTGTCATTTCAAACGGTTGTCATTAACTTCCAAAGTAGGGACAAAGTACACAGTTTAATGTCTGAGGGAAAAAAAAAATTAATGAATTGCTCCATATTTTAATGTGCAGTGCACATGTATACTTCCCTTGGACTTTTTTTTTTCCCTTCTTTTTTAACACAGAAAAGATTCAGGCAACAATGGCTCCTTTATGAGGGTAATTCATGGGTAAATAATGTAGCTAATAATGACAGTTCATACCTCTAAATATTAGGTGTAATTGTGAACTGTATTACATGATTTCATTAGCCAATAAAAGGTTTCAAATCCAACAAAGCGATTCTCATTCATACTATTTATTAGTTTTTTATTATTCCGCAACAATATCTGACAATGTCACCCAGTATTTACTTTAAAAAAAATAAAAATAAAAATAAAAAAATAAATTGACAACTTAAATTAATTTCATTAAATTTGTGGAAATTTAAATGATCAAGATAGTTGGAAGCTGCCATTGGCAGAGCAGTATTGGTTGTTTACTAGAGATAGGACTTGGGGTGAGTGTAACACTGATTTCTCTCAACATGGCCCAAATCTCCTATGAAGAAAGAGGATAGAACCACAAGACAAAATAGAGTTGCTAGTACTTTTTGACTTAATTTGCTGCATAATTAGACACCAACCCCAACACAGCACAGTACAGTTGACAAGTCCCAGCCATGTGCATAAAAGATAAAATCACTTTCATTAGCTGTCCTTTGTTTTTTTTTTCTTCTTCTCTGTTCTCTGCTAGTTTGATTACTGTCAGTCCTATGCCTTCACCTACCTTGCTAGGCTTGGATTAAATTTTGATCCTCTCATTTCTAATGCATCTGTTCCAATCATCTTCAATGTAAGATGTGCGCAGTTTTCTCTCCATTATGTTTTCGTGACTCAAACTCACACCACCACTGAGGACGCCAATTACAAGCGAAGCCTTGGGCAAGCCTCATTTTGCTAATAACAATTGGTATCATAAACTAAATAACATCACTCTGATATATAGGTGAGTTGAGTGTAAGTTGCTCTGTCCAAAGGGCAGTTTTGCTAAAGCGTAGTTAGCTCTGGCCATCTCCATGTGTATTTGGTTTCAGATGACACGTATAAAAACAAACCGTTGTAACACTGCCCCATCCATTTTCAGTTTCAGTCCTTCAAAGTTCGCTTGTCTTAGCAGTTTAAACTGGTCACTCATTGGTATTTCATGAACGCTGTCCCACCTGTCAAAAAACACTACACTCTCATGTCCTAAAAATCTTGATTGTTTTGAATTGCAGGAAAGAGAGAGACTAGTTGAATTCAATCCACTAAAATGTGATGGAAGATAATTGCCAACACTGAAGTAGAATGGAGCAGGGCACAGCAAATATCACCATTGACCGGTATGCCAAGCTTGTGAAGGGCTCTTGGTTCAGTCAGTTCCACAATGGCTCCAATCCTTGGATGGCCAGATATGTCTACGGCTTAATGTTTCTCATTGCAACTTTTCTTGCTTGGGCAGTTCGGGACTATGGCCATGGTGCCTTGACAGAAATGAAAAGTAAGATTGAATCATTTCTTGAAAATTTCATATGTTTAGCTGCTTAAATCATTAGTCAGTTTCTAATCAGTTCTCACTTAAAAATGGTGACATGGTTTGATTTGGATACAGGACTCGAAGAATTTGAAGGAGGCGTAGATTGTTTGGGTACAGAAGGAGTTCTTCGAGTGAGCTTAGGATGTTTCGTATCCTTTCAATTAAAGAACTTCAGTTTTGCTCTCGATAATAATATCTCTGAACTTTAATTGTTGACAGAACCTATCAAAATCCTAGGTGTAAGACAGCTTTATCCAGTAGGAATGAAACCATTTCAGGAGAAGAAAACTTCTTTATGAATGAAATTGTAAGTACAGCAATTCATTCAAACATCAAGATTACTGATAATGAGATTGTGGATGCCAAATTGTGGTTACCTCTTTCTCTTTTCTATTTTTTCCCCTCTTTTTTTCTTTTATGCTCAGAAAGAGAAGAGACTTGAACTCTTACATCAAGGCTGAGACAGCAATGGACCATCATTTGGCTTATTACACCATTTGGTTCATCCTCCATATATGCATCAGATTATTTTTATTTTTTTTTTTAAATTTTTTTCTAGAAAGGAGTTTGAACCCCTATTAGAAATTTGATTTATGTCCTGGTGTTGCTCACTTTGTTTCTTTCTAGCTTTTGGGGCTTAGCCCCCCTTCATACCCCAAAAAAAGCGAGGATATTTTTAGCTCAAACTTTTTTTAGTGTTCAGTCTGCATTTGCTGCATGCATTGGGAAAACATTATTCCCTTGATGTATGCTCAGCTGCCATAAGTTAGTTCAATCTTTGATTTCTAGTCCCTTAATCTTCCATCTCGTTCTGGGTACATTGGAGTGAACCTTAACAGAGAAGTAGTTATTCTATTTTGTAATGTTTCTTTCTACAGCTGGTACCTCAAAGTTGGGTGGTGCTAGGGAATTGTGGCATTCTGGATGGTGGTTTGCCAAGATTCTCTTGATGATCACACTTACATTGCTTCCCTTTTTTGTTCCTTCAGCTGTTATTCGGCTTTATGGTTAGCATAATAGTTCTTTCTCCTCTGTGCTTTTAATTATAAGATATGTAATTTTTTATGTTTTCAAATTTCGATCATGCTTGTGATGCGATAATTTTTTTCACAGGGGAGCTAGCACATTTTGGTGCCGGGTATTCACTAATTCCTTCTCTATGTTTGTCTTCGTGTTTTGCATAATGCTTTCAGAAATGGTTCCTGTGGGAGTTGAAAATGTTCTGTTTGTTCAGCGTAAATTTTCTTGTACACTTGTCTTACGATCTTCTTCTAATGATTCTTTACAGGGTTTTTCTACTAATTCAACTAATTAGCATCATCAGTTTCATCACATGGTTGAACGATTGTTGTCAATCTGAAAAATATGCAGACAGATGGTAAGTTGCTCCTCATTCAAACCTATGTTCGTGTAGACATGACAGTTGATTAACACGACATAACACGATCAACATTAAACTCATTCAGGCAATTGACTCATTGCCTAACACACATTGACCAGGCTATTACCTATATTTCACTTCGCACACTGGGCTTGCCTAATTCAAGTATATATATATATATATATTTTGAAACACAAAACAATTTTTAAGTACTCAGTATCCAAATATAATTATATGGGTATTGTGAATAACTAACAGTGAGATTTTCACTGCAGCTACTTCCACGTGATGTTACTCGCGACTATTGCATATGTTGTGTGCATACTGGGGATAATTTTGATGTACATTTGGTATGTGCCAGAGGCATCTTGCCTTCTTAATATTTTCTTCATCACCTGGACACTTGTACTCCTCCAACTCATGACCAGTGTCTCTCTCCACCCAAAAGTAAGTTTTAGTCTTGGGCACAGGTTTGAGCTCATTTGTGTAGTGGAATAAATTATACATATGTATACATATATTTTGCCTGAAACAGGTGAATGCTGGATTCTTGACTCCAGGGTTTATGGGGCTATATGTGGTGTTCCTCTGCTGGTGTGCCATTAGGAGGCATGGTTTCTAATTTTCTAACTTTCTTATCATATCCAACAAACCTTAGCCTCCAACAACACACACTCTTTTCTTTTCCCCAAAACCAAAGATTAATTACATCTTTGTGTTTCACAGTGAACCACCAGAAACTAAATGCATCAAGAAATCGGAAGGTGAAATCAAACAAGACTGGCTTACCATCATAGTAATGTTCAGATTTCTCAAAAAATCTCCCACATTTTCATATTTCTAAGTATTATCAGTTTGAATGAACTTCGAGACCATAAGCTCATGATAATTTTCTTCATGACATAATCTTATCCAGTTTTGCTCAGAAAGCAATGTTATTATTTTTTTCACATCAAACACTTCACAATTTTCATTCCCTGGAATGACAATTGATCTCATATCTTGGCAGAGCTTTGTTGTTGCGGTACTTGCAATCGTTATTGCTACATTTTCAACAGGCATTGATTCCAAATGCTTCCAGGTACTTATCAGTGAAACCTCTTTGAATTAGTTTCACACTTTCAGAGATGTATCTAATAACAAAAGGAACAGTTCAGGAAGGACGAGTCAGAGGCCGAAGATGATGTACCATATGGTTTCGGTTTCTTCCATTTTGTTTTTGCCACCGGAGCAATGTATTTTGCTATGCTGTTGGTTAGTTGGAATACTAATCACACAGTGAAAAAGTGAGTTACAATATCTTGCAGATCATTCTTTTTATTAAATGGAGGCACATATTTTATTTTCTATCATACACATTATTAAATTGTTATTTAACTGAACTAAACTTCAAGAAGAAAAAACAAAAACAAAAACAAAAACAAAAAATAAACAAAACATAACAAAAAATAAAAAGAAACTTCAAATTCACCAATTGAATGGTTAGATAACATTCCATCAACTTTAAACTCTCACATTCCATCAATCTGCAGGACCTCCAACCCTTCTACAAAACAAAAAACAAAACAAACCACCACCAACTAGGACTACTCAGCCATACTAACACCAATATTTAATTTTATGCAGGTGGACAATTGATGTTGGTTGGACCAGCACATGGGTTAGAATAGTGAATGAATGGCTGGCAGTCTGTCTTTATAGTAAGTAAAAAATAAAATAAAATTTACCACAAAACCTACAAACTCGATTATGGTGCCCTTTCGAAGCATAAAGTTTCAGTATTATAGATAAAGATAGTATTTGGATCTTGAATTTGTGGAGTGACGATTTGTGAAGGAAAAGAAAATGAAATAACAAATTCAAGATCCAAACTCAACATAAGAGATTTGAATGCGTAGCTAAGGAAAATGGGCGTGTGTTTTGCAGTATGGATGTTGATAGCTCCAATTATATGGAAAAACAGACAAGCAGCTGAATCATCAGTTTAAATACACTTCTGAAGAATTTATTTGTTTTTTTGGTATCAGCAGATGGGAAGCTAAGAACTTTTCTGTCAATACTTTCAATTACTTCTAGGATAAAATTTATTATTTGTTTCATTTTTGAATGAAAAGTATATTCCTATATTGTCCAACCCTGCACACTACATTCAATCTCACCATATGATTAGAAAGCATCTCAATATTTGTAAATTATGGAACATTTTTGGAACCTTAAATATTTTACCTTTCTTACATCTTAGTGGAGTTAATCATGATTCCCATCTCTCTCTCTCTCTCTCTCTCTCTCTCTCTAAGACTTTAAATTTGGATCAATCATGGTGCTTCAATGATTCAGAAAGTACTACAAAAATTAAAGTGGGGCTAACCTTGGTTGTGAAAAGGTGTTTGATACAAGACAAACCGGTGTTAATTATTTGGAAAAAAAAAAAAAAAAAAAAAAAATGGTAGGACTGTCACAATGACAGCCATTGCCGGCCTTTTTTATTTTTATTTTTATTTTATTTTAAAAAAAAAAAAAAAAAAAAAAAAATTCTTTCAATTTTCTTGAGTATCTCCAATCTTTTATCAAATTTTTCATTTAATTTAATTCTAAAATTGAGTAAAAAACTTGATTTGATATGAACTACTCTAATCATTTCATCAAATTTTTATCAAAGTCTTTTGAAAAATTCCCCTCTTATCCCAAACTTTCCTTTTCACCAAATTTAATGAAAAAAATCATCTCCAAATATTTTCATCTTTTTAAATTTTTATCAAGTTCAAATTTGATGAGTTATCAATTTGATGAAAAAAAAATGATTTTCTCTTGATTTGGTATGGATTTGATGAAATGGTTGGAGTATCACTTAAATTATTATTTTTTTTTATCAAATTTGAATTTGATTAAATATTTGATGAATGATTAAAAATGACCTTAGTAATGAAATATATAAAGAGTTAGATACACAATCGAAATAGGAGATCAATGGATAAATGATTACTTAGTTATATATATATATATATATATATATATGGAAAATGATATATTTGACATCATTGACAATGAAGTTATTATACAATGATTCCAAAAAATAAATCCCATTGAATACAATTGCAAAAAGTTGATTGTACTAATATCTATTTGGGAAGGTAACTTTTTAAGCGATTTTTTTGACTAAAATATGAGGTTAAAAAATTGATATATTTGAAAAATATTTTTTTATTTTTTTTACAAAAAAAATACAAAAAGTAAGAAGAAAATAAATATTTGACTTTTTAGTGGCTTCTTTAATTTTAGTTAACATAATGTATTGACAAAATATGCCTTAAAATGTTTAGAATTTAACACTGTATGGTGACCCAATTGACAAAAGTCATAAAGTCGCCACTGTGTAGCGTCAATTACGAAAGTGACAATAATTAATAACTCAACTTTATTTAGCGGAAATTACAATCAAGTGCAATAGAGAAAAAAAATATATAAAAATATATGCTGTACAAGTGAAAAATTGGGGGGGGGGGGTTGCCCCCCCCCCCATTTCAAAACAGTGGAACAGACAAATTATAAAAACCATGTGGGGTGCAAGTAGTTTTGTGATGGTGTGCAAGTGAAAGGTTGTGGGGGTACAAGTCACTTGCACCTCTCCATTTTTGTGTAAATTTTTTTGAAAAATTCTACTTACACAATACATTTACTTCTTTATTATCCCCTCCATTTGAGATTTTTTTTTTTTTCAATTTTACCTATGTCTGAAATTACCTTTAAAGACAAAAGATAAAAATTAAATAAATTTAATTATCTTTTCACACCCGTGGCATTTCAAGCCCTACTTTTTTTCTTCATTTCTCATTTCTTTTTCTCTACTATATATTTACTTTTAAAAAGTGAGAATTATAGTGCTTTGATCATAAAAGAAAGCAATTGATGAATAAATGGTGATGAAGGACCAACAAAAAAATAAAATGGTCGAGTTTTTTTGTTTATTTTTTTATGCTTTCGTTTCGTTTTTTAAAAGGGTTGTTCGACTTTTGTTCGGTGTACCAGAGTCAAACAAACACCGAACAAAATCAAATAGCCCCAAATCACACTGTCGAACAAAAAATACATATCCGGTTACCTTGCCAAACAAAAAAATACTTGTTCAGTAACCTATTACCGAAAAAAAATTACATGTTCGGTAACACACTGCTAAACATTTCCAGTTTTATTTTTCTGGCATTTTTTTTTTTTTTGCTTTGAAGGATTATGTTTCCATTCATTATAGTAAGGCTAGTAGTGCATTGTTAATGAACTATAGTCATGAATTCATTACTGACGAAGTTTATTAAATTTATCTATTTCCTAGTCATCTAGTACCTCCAAAAGTAAGTAATTAGATTCATTTTCATCACTCATATGATAATGGATTTGAGAAAGCATATACTACTCATATTGATCAATTCCGTACATTGGTCATCCCTGATATAGTAACTACCGAAACTATCAACGTAGATGGATTGTGATAACATCTTAGTGTGATTTTATAGATGTTTGTATTGACAAATTTGAAAATATTTGTATTGACACATTTTATGAATGTTTGTACACTTCATGTTTTTATGGAGGGTTGATATTTTAAAGAAAATGAATCTGTAAATGTGTAGCAATAGATGGCTGGATAAATCTAATTTGTTCAGTAACATGACACTGGAATAATCTAAATTATTTGGCAATGTATCATGGAATAGGCCCATCATATATTTATTTTTTTAAAAAAATGATATATTAAGGAAAGTGAATTTGTAAACAAATGACTAGACAAATATAGTTTGTTCAGTAACATAACACCGGAGTAATTTAAAAAGAATAGGTGTAATGAGAAAAATCTGTAAGGATTTTGAAAAGGGTTTAATTTAAGGTTAGTTTTGGTATTATAAAAGGTGTAATGAGAATTTTAATTATTTCTTAAAGATGTAATGAGAAACAACAATGCTTGGTCGCCCAAATTTTCATTGCTCGAATGTCCCAAAACGATGTCGTTTTGGGGGTAAAACGACATCGTTTTGATACATTCCAGCAACACAAATTCAAACTACTGAAATATAGGTATAAAAAGGTAAAATTATGCTGTAAGGAGAATTTCTCTTCTTTTTTTTTCCTGTCTTACTGAAATATAATTCCCTTTTTGTTTATTTAGATGGGTTGAATGAAAGCATATAGTGTTTTGAGAAAATGGTTAAAAGTTGACTTTTTAACTTTTTTGGCCTTTTTGGTTTTTTTTATGTAAGAGATGATATGATCTAAAATGGATTAAAAGTTGACTTTTGGTTTTTGGGTGATTCTATTTACACCACTATTTAACCTCTTTACACCCTCCATCTCATTACATCACTAAAAAAAAATGTAATTCTCATTACACCCCCAATATTTTACCAAAACTAACCCTAAATTAATTATTTCATCTATTTACACCACTCATTTTGGAGGGAAAAGAGAGAAGTAACAGAGGAAGAGAGAAAGCAGAGAAGACGAGTTGTTTGGATGGCAAGAAGGGGTTCAAACAGTATTGTGGTCTATGTTACCGGCCAAAACGATTGAACTCATTTTTCTCATTCGCCAAAGGTAAGTGAAAAACTTTTCTTTCTCTCTCTATGTCGACAAACATATATATATGCATCTTTATCATCATTTTTTGCAAATAAACAAAGAATAACACATTCCCAACATAGTTTTGGTGGTTTTGATCTTCAAATTTAATTGGGTTAGTGATTTTTGGTGCTAGTTTTGAATGTTAAAGTTCAGATTTTTGTTCTCTGTTTTGCATGTGGTTTTGAATGGTGAATCCTCTTTATCATAGTTTTACCCTAACAAAATCCAACCAACTATAAATCAATTCTTATTTACTCTTTTTGGTTGCTGTAAGCAAATGTATTATTATTTGCTTTCCATGAAACTTCACCTGGGTCTACGAACCTTATATGGAGCAAGATCCATTTTATTGTTGGTTCTATTTTTCATTGCTTTATTTGTAAGATTAATTGGATCAAAATGATAATACAAAATTCAAAATATATTAAAAAAACTATCATCAATTGACACTTATCCCCCCAAAAAAATTAAAAAATAATAATAATCTACCACTAATTTGTAAGTCTGTGTGAAGTTTTTCTTAAAAGACCTTATTAATTGAGGAACCTAAACTTCAAATGAGATTTAGGGACTCTCGAATATATTGGGGAAAACAATATGTAGTTACACTAATAATATTTTGTGTGCTCATCTAAAGGATCTCTTAGAGGATCTATTGTAGGCTAATGGTAGATGGGAGAAACCATGGTGCATTGGAAGACATATTAATGTTGTTAGATAGATACCCATTTGAGGGACGTGGAGTTTCACACAATTTCCGCGACTATGAGTGAGTTCTTGGATTTCATAGATGTTTTGGAGTTGATGGATGTACCTTTAGATGGGGCAAGATAAATGTTCTGTAATAATAGAAAGATACATACCCTTTCAAGGATTAACCTTTTTTTTTCTTTTTTCTTTTTTCTTTTTTAAATCTATCTGGATTAGCACTTCTCCCCTTGTTCTTCAACATCTTTATCCACGTCCAATCTTGGACCATATTCCCATTATTTTTGGGTTGTGGAGGCTTTTTGTTTTTAGCTTTGGGTTGTGAAGCATAGTGGTAAAAAGTAGTTGATGAGTTTTTTTTTGCCTTGTCCACAGTGGAAGTGGTTTGACAAGATAAGGATAGGATGATGTAGGAAGATAATAAAGGAAAATTCTCATTCAAATCCTACCATGATATTCTTGGCATTAGCACAAATATATATTTTCCTTGAAAAAATATTTGGAATTTGGAAATCAGGGACTTTGTCGAAGGTGGCTTTTTTTTATTTGGACAATAGCCTTGGATTTTATCCTCACTACTAATAATTTAGATAGCAGGCGTACGGGGATACTGCCAGTGGTATCGTGTTTTGCACCGAGTTGTTCAGAATCCTACACATCACTCTCAATTTGATCCACATGTTCAACGTCTCAAAAATGATGTTAATATGGATCCCAAGTGGGAAAGTGAATTATGAATTAATTTATTTCACTTTTAAGTGGTTCACCATGAATCAAACACTAAGGCCTGTTTGGTAACCATTTCTTTTTTAGTTTTCAATTTATATTTACAAAAATTTTAAAAACTGTCATAAAAACTTGTTTGATAATTTTTTTTGTTTATAAATGGTTGTTTCAGTTTATAAATTTGAGGAAAAAACGTAAACTCAAAAAATGAGTTTACGTTGGTTTTTAAACAAAAATTTAAAAATTTGACTAACAATTTTTTTTTTTCAATTATCTTTTTTTCAATTAATTTTTTTTCAATTATTTTTTTCCCAATTAATTTTTTTTATTAATTTTTTTTTCAATTATATGATCCCATTGTCATAAATAATAAAAAATAAATATAAATATTTTAGGCATG